AGCTTTTGAGAGCAAAAGACGTTTTGGGCCGAAAGCATCACAGAAGTCATGACGTTACGGTTTAGTAACACCTCACATTTTTGCTCATAGTCTTAAAAAAAATGAAGACTTAGAGGACAGGATCCTCTCCAGTGGTGTTTTCTGTAGCAGGAGCGCTTGTTTGTGAGCAGTGCTAGCGTTCTGCCCACTTGCCTGGTACTGCAGTAACTCACTGAGCTCCGCTTGAACGTCGGTTAGTTCAGGATTCCTTAAAGCAAATGTCTCCGTCTTCGTCTTCTTCACGCTCTGAATTAAAGGCAAAAACCCAAACCAAGCCCGCTAACTTCAGCCTCGGGTTTCTGGAAGCATCAGACAGCAGTGAAAAAGAAGTCTAAAGCCTCTAGGGAATTAGACGCATCCCAACATCCAGTCTAATGCCCATCCCCAGGCTCGGTGCTCTATCAGCTGATCTTAGTTCCCACCCAAAGATGACTTTGTGCGTTCCAGTACGCTGGGAGGAGCGAAACAAAGCCCGTATTTACTCCCCCCTGCAGAAGGAGCCAGCCAAGGCCCCGATCTGCGCACGTTCCAAGGATGGCGCCCGTCAGTCCTTACGTAACGACTGTTGGACTTAGGTGGGTCCGATAAAGGTGCAGCATGGCCGGGTCAGGGTTGCGTAGCGAGCCTGAAAAACGCCCGTGTGCGTGCTACCGGTCTTGAGGAGATGCGGGACTGGAGACCAGCTGAATAATCTCATCCTTTGCCTGCGAACCTGGGCTTTGGTTGCTGCTGTAGGAGGTCTAGTTCAGTACTTCTTGGGTTTATGTCTTGGTTCTGAGCAGGCCCTCTGCAGTCACCCTGCCCACCCGGAAAGTAGCATCCCTTTGCGCCGAGCTTAGGCGGCATGTTGAAAGGTGCTGCCTGGGTAGTTACCTCGGCGGGAAATGTTCCTGGTTTTTAGGAAGAGCCTGAAGCCTGCAGTGCCTCACATGCTGGAAGAAGCGTGGAAGTGGGTTTGAGCCCGTCAGGAAGCTGATGATCCGTGTGTTTGAGGAGTCATACGTGGGCAGAGCGAAGCAAAGCCAGCTTACGCTGTGCGCTCTGAAGTTGTTTCACTGTGTGGTAATTTCTCTGAAATTCAGTGCCAAGTGAGTTATTTTTCACTCCGTGGTTACGATGCTGTCTTTACCAGGTATTCCTCTCTCCGTCCATCATTTGTCACCTTGGAAAGAGAATGCAATAGATAGATAGGGAATTAGCAGGCTGCCCCGGAGCAGAAATGCTTAGTGGTTGCTGTCTGGTTCTCAGACCACGTGGTGGATTGTCTGCCAGTGCTGTGTACGACAGGGGGTCGGCCAGACAGGGTAAGATCCGGTGTTTGTGATCAAAACAGAAGTGTGTCCGCCCTGCCAGGATTATAGATTCAACAAACCTCATTCACGTTCTCTTTTCCTCTGTCAGTGGGTGACAGCTGGTGGTGATGCCAGCCACTCTTAAAAACTAAAGCAAGATTATGTATGTACTCGGTGGTCTTACTCACTTGGTATGGGGTGGGCAGTGCACATCAAAGGAGTAGAAATTCCTTTACTGTGAAGTCTTTGGATTATTAAGCGTTTTCCTACTAGAAGGTGGATGTAAGGTCTTGTTCTGGGACTGATGTGATCAACCAGGTGCAGTCAGTCTTGTCTTACCCTCTGCATGTTACCAAACTGTAAAACTGGAATCTCAAAAGTGACTTTTGTGTCCAAATACTTAAAAATATTGCAGTTCTGATCTGTCTTTGCCACAAAGGTAGCAACACCCTTTCTTCTAGCATCAGTAATATCTCTGGTGAACTTGGAGGATGCTTGTTTGGGGTATGCATTTGGTGAAGTACATGTTAGTGAAATGTCAGTAGCAGTAGAATATAGTTTGTCCTCTGCTAAGAATTACTGAGCTAAAAAGCGCAACAGTCTTAAAAGGAATCTCTAATTGGCTGTATGGCATGGTTTAGGGCGTTCGGTAGAGCTCTGCCGAGAGGTAATTGTGTCCTTTAGTAGGTTCTCCAGATGAGGAGGGCAGCCTGATGCTCTGGGGCAGCTCAGTCTCAGCTCGCTTGCCAGAACTTTCCACAAAGCAGGAATTGTTTAAACACAAGTGGGAACGTAGCTGATGTCCGAGTGCATGACAGGATCTTAATTGGTGTAATAATACACCTCTTTCTAGATCTGCACCTGGGAAGCAGGCGAAGCGTTGCATGTAGTTTTTGTGGTCCCTCTTCCTAGCCAGCCCTGTAGTTCTCTGCTTGCCTGGGCTCGAGAGGGAAGAAAGAAGCAGGGTTGGACTGAGCGTTTGCCGGGGGAGGGAGGGAGCAGGGGTGGGTGCAGCAGTCACTCACTGTGACAGGAACGGGAAGTTCGGACAAGCAGCTACCGTTGGTAACCTTCTGCTTTAGCTGCGCCTTTTAGTCAGGAGAGGAGCCGGCGGTGCATGAAACGGTGCAGCACAACACTAGGGCTTAAAAACTCCTTGTCAGGAAGATCTCGGAGGTGTTTGGGGTGGGGTGGGACAGGAGGTGCTTTTCCAGCGTGTGCATTTCTGTAGGAGGCTTGGTTTATATTTCACTAACAAGTGATTCTCTCTTCAGTACCAGTGCATTCAATCTTAGTAATACTGAGTTAGAATTCCATTCACTTCCAGTTGTCTTTCCTCCCATCTTGCTGTCAGCCTTTCAGTAATGAAGGCGTTCTTACTAACAGGGATGTTCTATAATCACCTTTATAGTGTCCACTCTTAAAGAAATCACTTACTCATTGTTGCTGGTGTTAGAATCATTGCTTTATGTGCTTTTGTGGTATTACATTATAAAGTGTGTCTGTACATGCAGCTTTTACTGTGCAGCACACACTAGTTCGCGTTTAGAGCACTTGTTTTCTGTTGAGGCTAATGCAGTAAGTATTTCCTGCAAACGAGGAAGAGATTCCTATGCCAATCTACTAGTGGAGCTACACTCTGAGGATGTAATTACATTTAATTGCTGTCAGAATAATGGTACGTTTTCTTTTATATGAGGCTCGTGCTGTTGCAGTTCCTTCCTAACTGTTGTAACTTCTGGTGATCTCAGGTGGTGGTGGTTTGGAGGTTTATTTGGTGGAGAAAAATAGGCCCTACTACAAAAAAAAAGCCAAAGCACTCTCAGAAATACCTGCTGGGTAGTGTCTGAAGCTTGCAGGTACCACACAAATACTGCACTTTGTGTTATGGTGGATGGTGCCCTGGGGAGAAGAACCCTCGCCATGCTGGATTAGTTCAGTCCCGCAGGAGGAGTGTTTTCCTCAACACTGCTTGCAAAATGTGCCTTCGGATTCTCTCCAGGGACAGTCCTGGGCTGCTCTTCTGCTCCGTTCCTCACTTTTCAGTGCCAGAATACAAGTAACAAAGCCTGGGGAAGTGAGTACTTGGCTGTGCCAGCTTGGGCAAAGGTTTGCCCAGAAGATGAATTTGCACAGCGGGAAATGAAGGCTTTTTCTTCTGAAGCAGTTACCGTGATGGATGAGGTTGTGATGGATGAACACAGGAGTGTGGTTTTTAATGGCAGATTACTGGGCTTTGGAAGGCAGTATTGAATGTACTCATATGCAGCCTAATTACCGTGAGCAAACAAAAAACCCCTAATGGCTCTAGAGAGAGGACAAGCTATGAAAATGTTGCTGAGGTTTTCACTAGAACCATTTGTTCCTGGTTCCTAATTAAAAGAGCTAATTAGTTTGTTTAAAGTTCTGAAAGTGTAATTGCGCTGTTTTGCAATACATATCAGCCGTTTTCAAAGGGTAAATTCAGACATGAGGTGCTTCCCTTATAAACTTCTGAGAACTGGCTGTTTAATACTAAAAAAGCATGAAGAAATGTGTTTTGGGGTTTTTTAAGATGATCTAAGTCTAGGCCACTGTAACTTCAACTTTCTAGCCTAAATTCCATCTTCTTCAGATATTTTACGTGTTTTGTGTTCTAAATTGACTCATGAGCCATTTTTCTTTGTGCATGAACTGTCAATGAACTGAAAATTTTGGATTCCTTTCAGATGTGTATTGGAGCTTATTGTTTTATTTCTTCTCTTTTATAGTACTCTTCCAGCCATTAGCTCTTGGCACTCGAGAATTTGAGGATGTTGTGAAGATTCTCCATTCATCTTACTTGGAACCAGGTTCAGTGTCCCATTTTAATTATGAGAGAGCCAGCCTGGTTCATAGCGAACTGTTGGAAAAGGAGGTGAGTGTATGTGTGGTTTTCCTTTGTGAATAAGGTACAAGTCAAGTGAGCTTTTACGGTTTTTCTGAGTCTAGAGGCAGAGACCTGGAGATCATTTTCTACTTACCTGCTTTATGCTTAGTTGCAAGCTCACACCCCATAAATGTAAGCAGCTGTTTTTCAGGCAAGCTTATTACTATGTAGACATGAAATCTTGCCTGCTGGATACTCCAAGAAGACTAAAAAAAAAAAATCGTATTTGGCGCCACTTGTCTCTATGCATTTTTATTCAAAAAATCTCCTAAATTTTGTTTTTAATAACCTGTAAAGATGTTCTGGTGTCTTGTTTGAAATGCCTGATGCTTCCTGTGAAACTTAAGATTAAAAATTTTTCTGGTAGGAAGTTTACCTAGCCTTTGTCATTTTGTTGATTTCCAAGAAATACAAGAGAGCTGGTGAACTGGTGTGTGGAGCAGCTTGGTTGCAGCACTTCTGCTGTACCTTATCTCGTGTCTCTCAGATCTAGCCTTGGCTTGCTTTTGGAACTGCTGCATAAGTTTTCAGTCCCAGTGCCAAAAGACTTCACGTGTTGAGTAGCTGAATCTAGAATTGGTGTGCTGTAATTGTCAGCTTGAAACTTTAAGTTTTCGCATACCGTAGTCTCATTCAGATTATCTTTTGGCTATTTCTGTGCACGGATTTGCTAACATAGATGGGGCCTTAAAACACTGACACTCGAATGTGACAGCAGTAATCAGTCCGTGTGTGTTAAGGCATTTCTGTAATAGTTCACAGAAAAACGCAGAGAGCTGAAATTTGATGGGCGCCTAGAAAAAGAGCTTTCTGAAGGCCATGCGTTTCTGATGGCTGATCGAACTCAGGTAGGAAAAAATTCCATATGCAATGCTTTCTCTTCTTTTTAGGTGAGAGGGTTTGGGTTTTATTGACACATTATTTTTGCACAATTCAGCACTGAAAAGTGTAGAGGCATGGAAAAGAGATGTACTGTTCTGCCACCATTTAAATCCCTTACGCTGTGCTGTTTGAGGTGCTCTATTTACATGTCTCTGTAAAGCATCTCCCTTGGCTTAGGCCCTTTTAGAAATAAAAGGCTAGGTTTTCTGGGTGGCATGTAGATTTTTAATGGGCTTTTTTGTTTGTTTTTTAACTGAACGGGAATGTTGCATGTTTTCAGTGTAGTTGGTTTTTGGGTTGTGATTGGTTGATGGGTGTCTTTTTTTTTTGAGTCAGGAGGAGGTTGCCTTAAGGAGAAGGTAACCTGTAATATTAGAAAATCCACTTTATTTTCTGTGTCTCTGTGTCATGTTTTTAATGAAAGTGATGGAAAGGGAATTTATATGCTTTTCAGCTATTATAGAGCCAGAATATCTTAAATATTCAATCATTTGGCATGTTCACCTCTGCTGTGTGTATTAAAAGCAAGTAACGTTCATAAAGTGTGTTTAAGGTATAGGGAGGCTGGAGGTGTTTTTTAAGATAAGGTGAGTGTGTGTAACTGCTTCATACGAAGTGTTTGAGTTGCACTGTTTAGCAGTTAATACAGCATTTCAGACTAGTCTTACCTCTGGGTGGGGTTTTTTGTAAGGGATTTTTGGAGGTTTGGGGGTTTTTCTTAGCTCAGTCAGAATTCTGTCATTGTTCCTTCTCACTGTTCGTTCTTTTCGTATCCTGGCTTTCCTGACACACTTGATAACATATGTCTGTTCAGATCCAAAGCATATGTGAAAAGGGGCTGCAGGTGGGCCACTCCAAAATAACAATTCTTGGCAGCCCGTCCATGGGTAAGTATCTTTCGATTGTATGTGCTGGTACCGTTCCGCGTGTATTCGGTGTGTCTCTGATGCTTACTGCAGCAACGTCACAGCTGGCTAGTTTTAGCAAAGTGGATCGGCATCAGAATGTGTATTTCATAACTCTGGTTTTGACTAGTTCATTTAAATTTCTTTCCCAAAGGGAAGATCTAATTCTCATTTGGCTTAAGTCAAAGCAGTGTATTGTGTCCTCCCAGTAAAATGGGGAGGCGAAAGAGCTAATTCTCATTTGGCTTAAGTCAAATGTATTGTGTCCTCCCGGTAAAATGGGAAGGCGAAAGAACTGGTGCAGTCTGTGGCCGTGTGCCTCCATGTTGGTGCGTACGTACGTGTATGCGTTCAGAAACGCTTCATGGAAACAGTAGCTCGGCTTAGTATTGATACAGGTAGAACTAACGTTCTTGAATCCACGAATCCAAGAAGAGCATAGATAACTGGAGTCTTGGAAGAGTCACGAGATGTTAAGAGTTGTGAAGTGCAAGATGCAAAGTTCCTTTTGCAAAACTCTTCAAATAGAAAATTAATAAATAATTTTGTCATCATCTGTAACAGTAATGTGATGCAGAGGTGACAGTATGGATGTTGAAAGCAGAGAAGATGGGAAGGCAGGGAGAACAAAGCATATAATTTTTTTACTGGTTTAGCCAGTAAAGGTACTGGGGTGATTTATCAAAGCAGTTAAATACAGAGTTGGAATGAGAGGAACGAAGCAAAAGGGATGCCTTTCTGAGTACCTGAGTTGAGTTAGAGTTACTTGATCTGAGGTAGTCAGCTGGACCATGAAATGACAGTGTGTGCTTGAGGCCTTGAAAACTAGGAAATTATGGTTGGAAAGCAAGAAATTACTTTACTTTTCCATTTGAGTGTCAATTTGTGATTCCAACCAGTGGATTTTTATCAGGAGTGTAGGGTGAAAGATGGCTGGAGGTGCCGGTGTTTCCCTGCCTTATTTCTCAGTCGTACCCTCCCTGCTTAGGTCCACGTGATAGAATTGGAACGCTGTAGACAAAGACCTCAGCTGCTTAAAAACCAAACCACCACCTGAAAGCAGCGTCTGTACAGCCTTTGGGCAGGGCTTGTACTCCTGGGCACACCACTTTGGGTAACGTGGATGTGCTCCTTTCGAACGGAGCTGCTCTCCGTACTCTGCCCCGGCGGCTTGTGCCGCGGTTGCCGCAAGTAAACGTTTATTCCACTGTCCTGCAGTTGTGAACATGCCCGTACACCTTTCTCTGGTTGTATTCCAGAAAGATTGTTGTGTCCTTATTGTTTGCTATACACTCAGCTTTAATCCCATGTAATGATACTTAAACTTCTAATGAGGTTTTAACATTCAGCATAATGTGTTTGGTTTTTTCATACTCCTCTCAGGTGTGTATATCTCCAGGTATGCTGATTTACTGCAGCCTAATCCCCTAGAATCTGGAGCAACGGGAGATGTCATTATTTTTAAAATAATAAAGGTAAATTTATCTCACTTACTCTTGAAGGATTATATTGCTTACTGATAAAATAAAGTTGAACTTCCATTTGCACAATTATCTGCTTATAGAGAAACCAGAACCCTACCAGGTTTCAAAGCCAATGTTGACACTGACCTTAAATAAAGCAAAATTAGTTTTTATAAAAGGCAAAAATCTCGTTTTCTTTGAAAGTATGAAAATAATGCACTTCTATAAATGTCTTTTTAATGGTCTGTTTTCATTTCCCTGCTCTTACTTCCTTTAACACTTGAAGCAGTTTGCCAGTTTTCAGGAAAAAGCTTATGCTTGCTGTTCCTCTGCTTCGTTACAGGGAAAAATGAAAAGCGTGTATGACCACATGGGGATGAAAGCAATGGACTCGGCAGTGAAGAGTGCGTTAGATCCCACACCAAAGCACGAGTGTCACGTTTCAAAGAATGCAAATAAAATAACCTCCCTGTTGGCTTATCGAGCCTATGAACTTACTCAGGTAAAGTTGGGTGTGCATTAACTTCTTACATATGGACTTTATAAACGGAACTTGAGGTGATGGAGGTAGAGTCACTGAAGACATAACAGGTACTGAGCATCTCTTGTGGAACTGCAGTATGTTTAGCAGTACCCTGCAGATCCTTGTGGTAGAAATTGCAGAACAGCGTGTCAGACTCTTCCTTGTGTCTACGTGGACCTGATGGAGGTGATCTCCTCCAGATGGATGTAGGTGGAATAGGAAATAGCGAGGGAATGTGTGTGGGGACTGGAGTGCAGGCTGAGGAGAAGAGAAGATAATACGGAATCATGGAATGCTTTGGGTTGAAAGGGACCTTTAAAGGCCACGTGTGCCAACTCCCCTGCAGTGAGCAGGGACACCTTCCACTACACCAGGTGCTCAGAGCCCCATCCAGTGTTGTGATGTTTGAAGTGTAAAAGAACAGGCTAGTGGGCATTAAGTGAGACTTCTAAAAGGGAAAACATTGGCAAGGAAAGCGCATTTGTCTTTCTTTCGTTTTCTTCAAAAATTCTCAGCTTTGGAGGTGGTGAGGGAGGAGAGAATGCAGTCAGTTCCATCTCTGTTACTGCAGTAATCTCGCAGTCAGGTTATTCCATCAAGCCCATAGGTTTCAGGATGCTTCCTTGAAAGCATTCTCTTCACTAGTGCAACTTCTTTTGGTTTCTGTAAGTCAGAGCTGGGCACTGAATCAGATGCCTAGAAGATGAATTTGTTTTCATTTCTCATCGCAAACTCGCCTGAATTAACATTTTTATTTAACAGTGGAATTTTGTGACTGAACTAAGGATGGACCCAAAGCTCACAGCAACATTTACTTAGTGAAATTTTCTTGGCTTTGTTAATTATCGCGTACCTCATCAAGAATACACTTTTAAATAAGTGTTGCAAAATTATTTTTGCTTTCTTGATTAGCTCCTGAAGTAGTGTCCATCCTGTCAGTGTTTGATTAAGGAGGAAGAAGGTGGAAAAAATTAACCTTAATTGATTGTATTATAAAGTGCACATGAGGCTGGCATTTAAAATCTTTCTTATTTTAGCTCTCAGATTTTGAAGAAATAGGCTGTCAGTGAAGGGAACATAGATGTGCTTTATTGTCCTAGCTCGTGTGCATAGCGGGTAATGTTTGCCATAACGGATTTCACACGAACTCCCTTTGTTTATGTACGGAATTAATCATAAGGCGTGGGTTGGGAGATACTCCTGTGAAGCAGAGTACACCTTCCAGTTAATAAAGGTTACGGGTTGTTAGTGTATTTGCAAAACGCAGTTTACCAGACTTGGATGTGCTTTATTGTCCTAGCTCGTGTGCATAGCGGGTAATGTTTGCCATAACGGATTTCACACGAACTCCCTTTGTTTATGTACGGAATTAATCATAAGGCGTGGGTTGGGAGATACTCCTGTGAAGCAGAGTACACCTTCCAGTTAATAAAGGTTACGGGTTGTTAGTGTATTTGCAAAACGCAGTTTACCAGACTTGTAATGCC